CTGCTTCTCCCTCTGCCTGCTCTGCCTGTCACTTCCCCTGCTTGTGCGGTGCGTGCTCTCTCTCTCTCCCTCTGAAAAATAAAATCTTAAAAAAAAAATAAAGTGAATGACTCAGAATGTGAGGCTGTTTGTCAACAATTATTCAGAATTTCAGGACAGAGATGGCAGAGCATTCAACCAAGCAAGCTCAGGCTCATTATGAGACTGGAGCCCTGTTGACTGCCTCAGACCCCTGCTTCCTCAGGGGGCTCCCCCACTGGTCTAGGAGAATGGGACAGAGCCAGGTGCATGTGGAGGGATCAGCAGGTCCGCGGGCCAGCACAGGTGGGAGAAGGGGGACCCACAGTGCAAAAATGGTATCTGGGGCCCACCGCCCCATCCTCTCCCCTCCCCCCCACTCACTCTCGACACCTGGGTGAAGCACATGGTTGTTCAGGCCTCCAGGGGCTGTGACCTGGTGGGCAGGAACAGGTGTAAGGAAGAGTCTTCAGAGAAGCAGGCTTCCCGCCACCCCCACAGAAAGTCCCTTTGGCTCAGCTCCCTCCCCAGGCCTCCACTGAGCCATCACCTTCTCACATATTCTCCCAGCTGAGGTTTCTGCTCCTGAGAAAAAGCCGCTCTTTTAAGAGGGAGGAGGGAGGGAGGAGAAGGGAAGAGGGAGGGGTTGGGGGAGGGGGAGGGCTGCCCTAAAGGCAGGATGTGGGGCTCTGTGTGTGTGTGTGTGTGTGTGTGAGAGAGAGAGAGAGAGAGAGAGAGAGAGAGACACAGAGACAGAAGCAGAGAACAGACAGGGAGACTGAAGGGCCTGGGAGGGGTTGGGCATGGGTCTAGCTGTGGCTGCCCCACTCTTGGAGTGGGCAGGAATCTCAGAGCCTGGAAACAGCCTATTCCCCAACCTCATCAGCCTGAGACAGGCGAGGGGCAGAGGGAAAGTGCAGACTTGGGAAAGCAGACTGAGATTATCCCTGAGCTCTGGAAAATGAAGTCATCCAGTTGGGGGAAGTCCCGAGGAATCCTGGCCGGGTCACTTGGAATGGTGTGTATCCCAGCTCCCAAGTCCAGAGGAGGTTCCAAGAACCTCCTGGCCCACAGTGTAGCAGGACCCACAAGACCCCTAGGGTGGGCCCACCAGGCGGGGCACCTGAACATACGGTCCCATGGGCCCCTGCAGGGGTGGCTGGAGGCAATGTCTGTCTGCCAGGGGACAGGGTAAAGCCCTCAGGAGAGGTTGAGGGTGGCTTGCTGTCGGCCTAGGCCCAGCTGACCAGGCTATCCTGAGCCCTTCTGAGGCCAAGGGATGCCATGGTCCTGTAACACTCAGGCACCTGTGTGTGGTGGTTCGGGCGGAGAGCTCCCAGGTCCTGGTGTGCCTCTCACACAGCTGGGCTCACCCCCTGCTCTCCCCTTACCCCGCTCTGGGGCCAAAGCCCCTCCCAGTTCAGCACAGCCTCTGTCTGCCCTCTGTATTGGTGTCTGGGGGCGGGCACAACAAAGTACAACCGCTGGGGTGCCTAAACCACAGAAATGTATTCTCTCCCATTTCTGAGGCCAGAGTAGAAATCAAGGTGTTAGCAGTGGTTCCTTCTGAGGGCCTTGGGGGAAGGGCCTCTCTCCCAGGCCCGCAGCCAGCCGTCTTCATGTCCGAGTCAATCTTGTATGTGTGTCTGTTCTCAAATCTCCCATTTTTATAGGGACAGCAGTCCTATTGGATTAGGGCCCATCCAATGACCTCATTACCTCGATTGCCTCTGTAAAGACCCTATCTCCAAATCAGGTCACATTCTGAGGTGCTGGGGGTTAGGACTTCAACATATGAGTTTGGGGGGATACAGCGCAGCCCCTAACACCCTCAAAGAGGACCTGGGGTCCTGGGGTTCCACCAGAAGGACGGAACTATAAAGCACATTTCCTTGGTGAAAGTCTCACTTGCATTAACTAGACCCCGGCTGGTGTCTCCCTGCCCCTAGGAGCCCATCATTAGTCTGAAACTCCTTTTGCACACCTAGGAGTCCAGATGCTTCCCTGAGCCATCTTTAAATTGCAGGTGGAAAGAGAGAAGACAGCTGCTCCTGCTTCACCTGTAAGTAATACTTCTGGGCTTCATCTGGGGACGCCTTGCTCCCTGACCCCATGGGGCACTTGGCCCCTCCATGACTGGCTCACAAAGACCACCATCTGCAGGCATTTTGTATTTCATTGTGGACTGTATCATTTTCTTTATAGTTTTAGTGAGAAATAATTCACACAATTCACCCATCAAAGTGTATGATTTTCATCACCTCAAAGAGAAATCCCATACCCCTTAGCCAAAACCCCCCAATCCCAAAACCCCACCTGCACCAGTCCTAGCCAACCCCTCATCTACGATCTGTTCCTGGATTTTCCTGTTCTAGACATTTCATATAAATGGAATCACATGGAAATGGTCACACTATGTGACCTTTTGTGTCCGGTTCCTTGCACTCAGCACAGTGTTTTCCATCCACAGTGTTTCCATCCGGCAACATGAATCAGAACTTCATTTCTGGGGCGCCGGGGTGGCTCAGCTGGTTAAGCCTCTGCCTTCAGCTCAGGTCATAAGCCCGGGCTCCTGTGATCGAGCCCCACATCAGGCTCCCTGATCAGCGGGAAGCCTGCTTCTCCCTCTTCCTCTGCCGCACGTGCTCTCTCTCTCTCTCAAATAAATAAATATTTAAAGAAGAAAAAGAAAAGAACTTCATTCCTTTTTATGGCTGAATAATATTCCACTGCATGAGTATGCCACCTTATGTATCCATTCACCTATTGATGGGGCATTTGGGTTGCTTCTACCCTTTGGCTGTTATGAATCCTGTTGCTGTGAACATGTGTGTGCAAGTTTCTGTACATAGGTTTCTCCTTCTCTTGGGTAGACCAACACTTACAATGATGTTGTTTTGACTCTAGCCACCCTAGTGGTTGTGAAATAGTATCCCATTCCGGTGTGGTTTTGATTTGCATTCCCCTTAGGACTAGTGATGTGGAGCATCTTTTCATGTGTTTGTTGACCACTTCTATATCTTCCTTGGAGGAGTGTCTAGTCTGATCCTTCACCCATTTTTAAACTGGTTTATTTATCTTCTTGTTATGAAATTGTAAGAGTATTTTGTATATTCTGGATACAAGTCTCTTATCAGATATGTCCTTTGCAAATGTACTCTCCCATTTTGTGGGTGGTCTTTTCGTTTTTTAGGGTGTCCTTTGAAGCACAAATGTTTTACATTTTGATTATGGGAGCATACCATTTTAAAAATAAAATTAATCAATTTGACATGGACTTTTTCCATAGTATGCTTAATATATTTTTAAAGGCTGGAGAAGTTTCCAAAGAGCATGAGAGTAGCCACAGATTTCACCTTGGACACTCCTCCTCTGAGCTCCCCTAGCCGACTTTTGGGTTCCTGTCTCTGCTTCCTTCTCCCACTCATTCTCTCTCCATCTGTCACCCCACTGCCCAACAACTCTGAACCCCAAGTTCTTCTACAAAACAGAGCGATTCAGGTCTATCAAGTTCCTGCAGCCAAACTCACCCCAGGTCCATCTGTGCACAGAAGCAATGAAGGGCTTTCTCTCCAATCATTTTCCTTGTCCTCCTGTATGGGGCTCATAAGCTTTTAAAATACAAGTTTCCTCCTCCACGTATTTTCAAAGGATCCTGACAGAGGCCCAGATTTCTGGTTTTCTGGCAGCTTAGGATTCCCAGTCACGGACTGGTTGAAGAACCTCTTGTTGTTGCCCTCCTGCTAGTCAGCTTGTTGTGACCCACTGATGGCAGGCAGCCTCCCAGCATGCTGGGACTTCGCCCACGGCCCCCGCCCCAGGCAGCCCCGTGGGCTGGATGGCAACCCAAGAAATGGTCCCTAAGTGGCTCCACCCATAGACCAGGGCCATCAACTTGACTCTACCGAGAACGTGAAGAGGTTGGCCCCTAGGAGGAAGAACATGGCAGAGACACAGGAAAGCCACAAGACGGGGTGGACAGCTGCTGTCCCAGCTCCCATGCCCACCCCTCAAGCTTACTCAGATGCAGACTCTTGCATTCAGGGTGAGGGCGTGAGGTCTGCATTTTTAAGTTCCCTAGGTGATTCTAATGTGGACTATTCCAGAAGTATAGGTCCAGAGGCACTGATTTAGATCCTGCATTCTGCGGGGAGCGGGGAGGGGTGGGTGAATGAGGTGGCCCACCCACTCATCACCCAGGGGTGCTGAGGAAGCCGTGGCTGAGTCCAGGGTCTTCCCACCGCATGGAGCTGAGGAGAGTCCAGGAGCTCTCCTTGAGGGAAGCGGCAGGCCCTCCAGTGTGGAGGCACTGAGGGGACTTGTAGGGATAGGAAGGTGTTCTGTTGAACTGACACAGTACTGGGTCCAGAGTGGTACCAGAAAGTAGGTCCACGGGGCTTAGGTTGTGGAGGGTGGTCTGGGTGGCCACTGATGTCACCCAAGACGTGGGACACACCCACGGGTGCTCAGGGGTAGTTTCAGGGCTGGGTCTGGGGTCCCCATCCCTATGGCATTGAGGACGTCTTGGAAGTGGGACAGGGTGGGACAGTCCTGGGAAACTCGGAGCAGCGGGTGGAGATAGAGGCTGGGGTTCAGTTCCCCAGTCGGGCCATTCCTCTAAAGTCGGAACAGCCCAGAGCTGCTACTGGGAGCCGCTGTTGCCAGGCGGGGGCAGGGCTGCAGTCGGCCGCTGTGCTCCAAGAAACCCCAGCTTTTCCGGGAAAAGGAGCGTCCTGCGGAAGAAGCGCGCCGCCGCATCTGCGCGGGTGCAGGCGGGGGAGGCGACGCTGAGCACAGGACCGGTCCAGTCTAAGCGCCAGCCATTTGTCCCCGGTCCCCAGGGCTTAGCTCCACCCACATGCTCCCAGCTGCGTCCCCGCAGAGTCCTACCCCTGGGAACAGCGGATGCGCCTCCGCGGCGACTCAGGACGACCCCCCCCAAAACACACACACCAAGACCCGCGGTGGGAGACCCGGCCCCCTTAACGGGAGGCGACGCCCCCCACCAGCACGGCCAGAAGGGACAGCAGGAAGGACAGCGACGGCCGCCCTGAGGCGTGATTGATCTCGCACGAACAATCGCAGGTCCCGGGTTCCAGGGTCGCTTTAGGGGGCCTGGGGGAGCGTGGGCCAGCGCTGTGGGCCGGGCAGTCCAGCCACTTGGGGCCCATGGGTTGGGGGGCCTCGGGCTCGGCCTTGACGCTGCCCTTGGGGAAGCGCCAGTAGTGGGCGCCCTTGAAGAAGTAGGTGTCACCTGCGGGGGTGGGAGGAGACACTTCGGGGGCCGGTCCAGGCTGCCCCTCCCGCGGGCTCCCCCCTCTCCCCCGTCCCCGGGGCCTCCAGCCCCCACCCCCCGCCCCCTCTCCCACCTGTGTTGCTGACGGTGACATCGTCCGGGGCGTGAGGCGCCCCTTCCCAAAGACTCAGGTCGCGGGGGTAGCCGGGGTCCGGGCGCGCCCCCGCCTCGTCATAGCGCCAGTAGCGCTGGCCCCGGATCAGGTAGGTCTTCCCGTTCAGCGGCCACGAGAACACGGCGTCCACCTCCTCTCCCGCCGGCAGCCCCAGCTCCGTGAGCGGCCGCGGGGCGCCCTCCAGCTGCCGGTCCTGGAACACCCAGAACTGGGGGCCTGCGGGGCAGCCGGCAGGTGAGCAGGTGCGTCCCCCGCGCGGGCCCAGCTGCGCCCTGCGCTCTCACTCACCGCTGAAGAGGAGGATGCGGCCGTCCGGGTGCCGGGCGTAGGCGGCCTGGATGACCTTGACCTGGGCGGGCAGCCCCTCCCAGAAGCGGTGGAGCCGGGCGGGCCGGGGGGACACCAGCTGTCCCGAGGGCTGCAGGCGCCAGAACCAGGGGCCTGTGTCGGAACAAGGGGCAGGCGTGGGGGCAGGAGATGGCAAGAGGTCTTCTCCCTCAGAGCGCGTGGCTGGGAGACCGTGCGGGCTCTCTGTCTCCCCCGGCTGGCGGAGCAAGTCCGTCTGGGCTTTAAGGGTGCAGTGGCTCTGGGGTGAGCAGCTCTCCCGGGCTTTGCCTCGTGTTTTTAGCACTGAAAGTCCTGCATCCTGGGAACCCCCACAGGCGTGGTGGGTCATCCTAAGGGGGTAGGAAGCCAACTCTATGGGATCAGGGGAGGTCTGGAGTGACTCACCTTTGAAGAAGAAGATTTCACCACGGATGTTAGCGATAGCGTCAAAATTGCCATCACATCGGTCAGGGATGGGAAGAGAGGGGCTACAAAGGAAAGGAGAGATGAGCAGAGAGGGACGAGGCTCCTGGTCTCTTTGCTTAACTGTTAGGACAGTCCTATGAGGTAGGGACTTTCACCGTGCCCATCTCACCACGGACCACACTGAGGTTAGGGACTTCACCCCAGGTCATACAGCTGCAGAGGGACTCACCTGTCCGGGGGCAGGGCAGGGGGCGGGGGAGGAGGAGCCAGGGGTTTCCTTGTGGGCTCATCATATGGGGTTTGGGGCACCTTCCCTGTGGCGAGAGAGTCAGAGAGGCGTGACTTCCCAGACCCCACTGCAGCAGAGACCACAGGGCAAGCCGCCCCTCCCCAGCCCCTGTACCGTAGAGCTGCTGCAGGCCTTCGCGGTCATCCTGGGACAGGCGGTACTTGTGGGGGTCGCCCACCGGGCCCTGGTAAAAGGGCCTCATAATTGAGTTGGGTGCCGAGGAGTGGCCCAGGCCCAGGGCATGGCCAAACTCATGGACAGCCACAGCAAACAGGTCAGTCCCCTCACCATCTGGGGAAGGAGGGAAATTGGGCTAGAGCTGTGCCCCTCCGCCACACCGGGAACAAAGGCAGCCAGGAAGCCGCTGGAGTGGGACCCGCCGGCAGACAGGAACAACCAGGAGGCCCTCCAAAGGTGGCTATACCCAGACCCTTCTGTGAGCCGTTCTGTCCTTCTTGTGTGCATTCACTTATTTGGTAGATGTTTTTGAGTAGCCTTGTTTGGCAGTTCTGGGGACTCGGGTACGGGGCTGAAGAGACCCACAGAAGACGTAAGGGAAGGGGTAGGAGGAGACAGTCTGGACAGACGAAGGGGTGACCTTTTGGATGTAGCGCCGGCCCCCAGGCAAGGAAGCCTGTGCATGCAGAAACACCCTGGGGGGAAGCAGGAACCTGGGGCTGCATGCATTTCTCTGGAGGAAGCCACAGTCCCGCTCCAGTCTGTGGTCAGAACTCCCCACCCACGGTCTCCTTGGCCTCGGTTCCCAAGACCTTCACCCCGCTCCCACCCCCATGGTGCTCCCCCTCCTCCCATGTGCACCCCGCCAGTGCCCCCATCCCCTCAGTCCTCTGTCACCCTCCCCCATCTCCCCCTTCCCACAGCCTCCACCCCTCCCCTGCCTCCCTCAGGTCCTGGGCTGCCTCCCTGCCTCTGCAGCTTCATCCATCTCCTCGGGCAGACACTCAGACCGGTCTGCTGGCCCTGGCGGCCAGCCTCGTTCCCAGCCTCTCTGACCACAGCCTCTTCCTTGGGGACCAGCCCGGGTGCCAGGAGTGAGCCTCTTCACACTCCCAGTTGCTGGCCAAGTCCCAGCTCCTCATCGATCCACCTGCTGGCTCCTACTTCAGCCGCTGAGAGGCCAAGAGAGCAAGACTGCAAGACAGCCAGAGAGGCGAGCAGCTGCCCAAGGAAGCACAGTTTCCACAGATGTTGATCTACTGCCTGGAAATCTCTAACTCGGGCCAGCACTGTTGAAAGTGGGTTTACTGGAAGGGGCCTGGTGATCCGAAAAGCAAATTTCTCCCAGCCCCTAAGGTCTGTTGGATGAGAGTGAAGAAAGAAATGCATGGGTAGGGCGCCTGGGTGGCTTGGTCGGTGAAGCGACTGCCTTCGGCTCAGGTCATGATCCTGGAGTCCTGGGATCGAGTCCCACATCGGGCTCCCTGCTCGGCGGGGGGTCTGTTCCTCCCTCTGACCCTCCCCCATCTCATGTGCTTTCTCTCTCTCTCATTCTCGCTCTCTCTCAAATAAAATAAATAAAAAAATCTTAAAAAAAAAAAGAAAATGCTTGACACCTTATTTAAAAAAAAAAAAAGAAATGCGTGGGTGAGTCTTAAGAAGAGTAGCAAGTACTTGCTCTCATTCTCCTCTCACAAAACCTCTTTCTTCTGTCCTCATTTGACAGGTGGGAAACTGAGGCACAGGGAGGTCAAGTCAAATGACAGTATAGTCAAGTACTCTGGCCGTATTGTCCTGTCTTTCAGCAGCGACTTCAGATGGTCTTGGTCAAACTGTGTTCGTATTGATGGATTTGGTCGTTGACTGTGGGTTTTCTTATTGCCCTGAGGCCTTTTTCTGAGAAACTGGAGGAAGCTGGGTGTCTACGTCAAGTAGATCTCCTTCATCCCCCACCCCTCCTCCCCCTGCTTTGCCTCTCCTTTGGCCACACCCTTCCTTGCACCCTTCTCACGCTCTGCAGCTGGGGAAAGACACACAACTGCAGCCCCAGCCCCAGCCCATGAGATTCCCGGTGGCCAGTCTTCGGGGGTCCCCGACACCTCCTCTCAGGTCTGCTCTAGACCTCATCAGACAGCTCCCCTGTGCTCTCCACTAGCCTCAATGCCAGGCCCACAGCCCCTCAAGCTGCTCCCCAGCTCTGGCCCCCAACTCTTAGGTGACAAATGCTGACAAATGTATTTCCTATTTCATCAAGACAGACCATCCGATGCAATCTGTAACTTCCTGTGTGCCTGGGCAGATACCTCCGCTTCCCCCATGCTCGCTTCCTGCCTCCTGCCCTGCCCTGTGCAAGGACCCTGCTTCCCTTACCTCCTCAAGGACAAGGACAATGCCCCACCCCCATCCATCCCTGCATCCCTGCACCCACGTGTCTATCCATCTGTCCATCCTTCCATTCATGCATCCATCCATCCATCTGTCCATTCATCCATCCATCCATCTGTCCATGCATGAATCCATTCATCCATCCCCCAACTCTTTCTTTCTGTTGGCTCAACCAGCATCACCAAGTGCTCAAGACTCTCTCATCCTAAGCCGCCCAGGTACCTACCTGCCCCCATCCACACCCCTCTCCTTCCCTAGCAAGTTCTGTGGTCAGTGGTCTACACTCAGTCTTCACTTCCTCGGCCCCTCTCACGCCTAACCTCACTGTGGTCAGGACTCCTCCCCCACCCGCCAAGTCCGTAGGCACCAAGGTCACTTTGTCCTCAGGTGATCACATCCGGGCCCCTGTAACTTACTGGCCTGGCTTGCTGCCCTGCCCACTGCCCACTGCTCCCTGTTCCCCTCGTCACCCTTGCTCCTGGTCACCTGTGGGCCTGTTCTTCCTCCATTTCCGTTGGTTCCTCCTCCCCTTCTACCCTCCCCTCAACTGTGGGGCTCTCCACAGCTCTGTGCTTGACCTTCACGTTCTACACTCTCCTCCTAGAACCTTACCATCCCCCATGTGCCACCAGGCCACTCTGCAGCGAGCAGAGTGCTTCTGCGTGCGGGCCCTGTGCCAACCGCTGTAGGTGAATTACAAGCCCACCTGCCGGCAGGTACTATTATAATCCCCATTTCTCAGATGATGAAACTAAGCACGGCGTGGCAAGTGCAGGAGCCCGGACTGGAGTTCCACTGCAAGCCGGCGTGCTCAAATGCTGCATTACACAGCCTCACTTCTGTGGATGCCGTGGGCACCTCGCCCAAGGCAGAGCCTGTGTGCTCATCCCCTGGCTGCCCCCTTCCCCAGAAAACGGCTCTCCCTCCTGGCCAGGCTCCCTGCCGTGGCTCACAGCCAACGGCGGATTGCTGAGTGACTAGAAGAGCTGGACCCCTTGCCTCCAGGCAGGACTAGCCATGTGGGTCAGGCTCCTCTCAGCTGAGACCATATCCTGACTAAGCTTCTTTCCCCAGCTCGCTCTTGTTTCCCTTTCCCCTACGAACGTACCCTGAGAAACTGCTTGCACAAGAACTTTCATCTCGAGCTCTACTTATGGGGAACCTGACCTAAGGCAGAGAAGTCCCAGTTCTAGAGCGAGACACTCGACCACGAATGCACCGCCCACACTGAACGGCCCCTAAGCGCCGCAAACACGCAGCCAAACTGAACTCCCCTCTGCCTTCCAAGAGCCTGCTCTTCCTCCTCCAGGGGCCCCTGAGGCAGACACCTAGCCGTCACCCCTTCCTCCGCATCCCCTCTGTCACCAGGATCTGCTTAGATCCCAATCTTGCCCATCCTGACTCAACTGTCCTCTGACCCACATCACCCAGCACCATCCCCTTCCTGGACCCTCCAGAATGCAAGACCTTCCCCGGCTCCTGTTCCCTTCCCCCAACCTCCCCATTCTGTCCCCGTGCTTCCAAGGCCCTCTTGTGATGAGACACACACTCCCTGTCCCGGCACCGTATTTCGGCCTTCCAGCCCCACATGTCCCCCTGTGCTCCTACCCCCGACGACCCTGGACTCAGCTAGCTCACCAGCTTGTGCTTTTCTCTGCGTCCTCCCCACAGCCCCACATGCCCCGGGACAACAGGACCTTGTGTGCTAGTTGGCCCTCAGTACACGCATGTGGGATGAATAAAGTCACCACTTCTAGGAAGCCCCGTCAGTCAAAGGCTTTGGGTAGCCTCTGAACACCACAGGCTGGAGGACTTCCTCTGCTAGGATTCCCTCAAGTTGTGTCACCATGTGTGGCAACTGCCGGTTACTCTTCTGACTCAGCTGCTGCAAGGGGCTGTTTTCACTTCTTTTAGTCCGCAGCTCGGAGCTGGACGCCTGAGAGGCCTCGGTGATGGGTAATGTTCTGTGTCAACTTAGTCAGACTATGGTGCCCAGCTGTTTAGTCAAACACCAGTCTAGATGTTGTTGTGTAGGTTATTTTGTAGACGTAATTAACATCTACAATCAATTGACTGTAAGTAAAGCAGATCGTGCCCCATGGTGGGTGGGCCTTGTCTAATCAGTTGAAGGCCCGGAGAACAAAACCTGAGGTTTCCCAGAGAGAAAGGAATTCTGCCTCAAGATTGCAACATAGAAATCATGCCTGGTTTCCAGCCACCTCGCTTGCTATGCAGATATCAGACTCAGGACTGCAGCATCAACTCTCACTTGAATTTCCAGTCTGCTGGCCTGTCCTATAGATTTTGGGTTTGCCAGCCTCCACAATCCTGTGAGCCAATTCCTTAAATAAATCACTTTGCACACACACACACACACACATGCACACACACACACCACTGGTTCTGTTTCTCTGGAGAAGCCCAACTGATACAGCCCCCATCGATACATGTGATTCAAACCGAATTCTTAAGGACAGACAGACCTGGGGAAAGGACCTCTCAGAATAGGGAGATTGTACCTTTTGACCCATAAGTCCATGTCTCCTCGTCATCAAAGTGAGTGTCCCCAGAGATGGGGTGTTCCCCGGGGAAGAAGGCATGGGCTAGGGTACCTCCCTGCCCGTCGAAGGGGTAACTGTCCTGGTGGTATGCCCGGGCAAAGTCGATGAGGATGTCGGGCTCTGTTGGGTCCTGAGAAACCAGCTCCTGGAATTTGAGGCCTGACTCAATGCCCCAGGTGGTCAGGGCATGGTGCATGAGGGTCCGCACCGTCTCCTGGGTCAGTGCTGAGCTCTGGGGGAAGGAGCGTACCCTGGGGAGACAGAAGGCAGCTGTTCCACATGGGGCCCAGCAGGCAGGCCAGGGTGGGGTGCGCACCAGGACCTACCTCCACGTCAGGGTTCGCTTCTTCCACATGCTGCCACTCAGAGCATACCGGCGGCGGCGGCGGCGCCTGACCAGCTCTGCCGCCCCCAGCACATCGGGCAGGGAGCAGCGGGGCCTCTGCATGGTGGCCATCGTCACTTGGTCTGGGGGAGAGGGTGTGGGGAAAGGGGATCAGCAGTAGGACAACCTGCTGTAATCATGGTACTGGCTAACCTACACGGACACACTGAGGCTCAGATATGTTAAACAACTTGCCCAAGAAGGCCTCGCAGCTTGGATTTGAACACAGGCTAGCCAGTTCAGGTAGCCCGCTCAGATCAAATTAGGACCCTGCTCTTCAGGGCAGTGTTACCCTCTTCACCGGGCCCTGGATGGACTGGCTGCCTCCATGTGATGCTCAGCTCTGGGATCTGGGGGTCTTGCTTCCCTGAGCCTTGGTGCTTGGACTCTGGAGAAGGGAGCCACAGGAGTGCAGTGCAGATTCCTCTCTGAGGCCGGAGCCCCCTGGGAGGTTGCTTGCCCATACCTCACGCCCTAGGTCCCTAGTCCTCACCGCAACCTAAAGTCCAAAGCCCCCAGGCTGGCTGGGCCTCCGGTCTCCCAGGTTAGATCTGCCTGGAATCCCCTTTCCTAGTTCAGCTCCCTTCCCAGCTATCCCCTCATCTTCAAATGAAGGTCAAACCTCACCTCATTGGTTGAGGCGACAAAGAGTAATGGGGCACATACAGATGCTAGACGCTACTTGGCAGTGGGCAGGACAGAGAAAGGTCCTACCTCCCTTGCAGCTAGCCAGCAAGTTCTCTCTTCTTCCTCATTTTACCTGACAGATGAGCCTCTCAGACAGAACTGTCGGACTACCTCCAAAATATGCACCCTGGATTCAACTCCCTCCTTCCTGGTCTCCATTTCCACCCTCCATTCTCCATCAGCAAGCAGAGGAAGCTTAGAACTGTAAATCCAATCCAATTGTCTCCCTCCTTCAAACCCTCCAGTGGTTTATCATGCTTGTAATCAAACCCACCTTTCAAGCATTGCCCCCCACCCATTCCCAATCAGGTTCTTGCTTAACTTTTCATTCCTTCTCTCATTACAGACACACCAGTTTGTGCCTACAACAGGGCCTTTGCATTTCCCTGGGACACTTCTCCCACATCTTCCCATGGCTGGCTGCTTCTATTTGTGTCCTATGAGTTGTTTGTGTCATTTGAGCTCCTCTCAGCCCCTGACACCTTTCAGAGGGATCTGCCCTGACCAGCATTTTATTTTCTTCAAAACACGAATCACTATCTGAAATTATCTTGCATTTTTTTGTTCTCGATCTGTGTGCGTGTCCCATGAGAGCAGGGACCTTTTCTGCTTTGTTCCTCACTACACCAGCAGAGCCTGAAATGGCCTTACACGTAAGAGATTCTTAGTAAATATTTATTGGAAAAGGAATGCCTGAGAATATCATGGGTTTGGCCCCAAGACCAGCATTTCATAGCTCCTGTGATTCAGGTGCATGTTGAGGTTTAGATACTGCTGGCTAATGGTCGGGCTGGGTGCAGAGGCAGGGCTAGGGAGGGGTGTGAGGGGGTCTACCTACCCAGGAGGCCTGTCTCAGGCAGCCCGGCAAACCTCTGCATGACCTTGATAGCATCCCTCAGCTTTTCAGGGCTCTGCAGCTGGGCTTGGGCAGGGTGGGGTGGTGGCAGATAGCCATAGCGGGTCAGCCAGTCCTAGACCATAGGAGGGAACAGGGGAAGCGGATGAGTGGGAGAGACACCCCCTTCCCACCACCATCCTGGAAACCCCACCTCTCTCCCGGCATCCAGGCATCCGGAGCCCAGGGGGCCCAGCCCCGGTGACTGCCTGCTGTCCATCTCAAAGTGCGGGCTCTCCAGCCCTGGGTTGTGTCCGGACCCAACACATTCACATTCACAGGGGTAGAGGTGGGGAGCGGTAGAGGTGGGGAGGTGGAGGACAGGACCTCCACCTCCCTACCCCTACCCCTCAACAGATCTTCAAATCAAAGCCCCAAACCCGATCGGTCCAAGAATCTGGGTCCCCAGACCCCATCCCCAGTCACTCTTTGGACAGTTGAATCAGCTCCCAGCCCGGTCCGGACCCCACCCCACCCCGCAGATCCCAGGAGCCCCCAGACCCCGGCACTCACCACTCCCAGGCTCACGTCGTGCGCGGAGGGCTCCCGGGCGCGCGCGGGCGGCGGCAGCAGCGGGAACAGCAGCGCCAGGAGCCGGAGCATGCCCGCGGGGCTCGAGGGGACCTGCCCAGGGCCGCTCTGGGGACCTGGGGGAGGGGGTCCGGGACCCGGAGAGGCTCGGGGAACCCTGCGCGAGCTAGGAGGGGTGGGCGGGGGGACCGGGGGCCGCGCTGCGGGTCCGGGACCCTGGGAGGCACCACGCGGGGGACCCGGAGACGTCCAGCGGAGGGCCCAGGTGGGCCGGGGTCGCTGCGGGGCCCGGGAGGGTTGAGAAGGCCCGGGAGGGCGCGGAGGTGCAGGCTCCGGGTGCGCGGCAGCGGCCTCTGGGTCCCGGGCCGGCCCCACCGGACCCCGCGCGGCGCGGGCGGCCCCTCCCTCCGGGCGGGGCAGGGCTGCCGCAGCCGATGAGCGGTGGCGGCCGGGCGAGGCCAATGGCCCAGCCTTCGGACGCCCCGCGAGCAGGGGGGAGCCGGCTTCGGAGAGCGCGGGCGGCGCCGGTGGGGGGCGGCGAGGAACCCCTGCCGAGCGTCCCCGCCTCCGATGCCCCCGCCGCGCCCGCAAGTTTCTCTTCCCAGAACCCGGCTCCGCTGGGACTCTCCGCGGCACGGCTCGTTTCTGCTTTCTCCACCGCGCGCAGCCGGGCGGGTGAGGGGAGGCTCCGGGGCGCCCCTCCCCCCGCCGCCCTTCCGGGAGACCCCGCGGGCGGCAGCCGGAGGCTGGGACGCTTCCCTTCGCCGCGGGGTCCGGGGCCGCCTCCCCGCCCGGCTCTGCGGGCGCCCGGGTGTGCGCGGTGCCGCTGCCCGGGCTCCCCGCCTTCATTCCCCGAGCCCCGTGGGCCGCGCGGGTCTCTGCGTCCGCAGGCGGGGGTCCCGGCCGCCCGGAGACCGCGCCCCCTCCCGCACGTGCTAGACGTGTAGGATCCGGTGCCAGATGCGCAGAGGCTGGAGCTGCCCGGGGCCGGATGCGCAGGACGGAGGAGGGGGGTGAACCGGAGCGGATCCGGCGGCAGAGACTTGGGGACCCGCAGAGCCACGCCTCACCCCTGCGGGGGAAGCCCAGGGCTAGGAGGCCGTGCGGCAGGAGAAGGACCGGGAGGAATGGGGCGGGAGGGGGGCTTTCCGGCGAGGGGAGAGGTGCGTGCGGGTCCGACAGTTCTGTCTCCGCAGCAGGGCAGCGATGGGGCCCCCTGCGTTTTAGATAAAATAAATAATGAGCAGGATTAGCGAGCTGGAGATACAAACTAAAACACTGAAATCCTGTATGCGTCCAAGCCAGCTGCGCTAACAAAATACCACGGACTGGGCGCCGGAAACAACAGAAATTTATTTCTGGGGGCTGGAAGTCCAAGATCCAGGTGCCGGCAAGGTTGGTTTTTCCTGCCATTTCAATTCCTCCCCTGGGTTTGCAGTGGCTGCCCCTGGCTCGTCCTCACCTGGTCTTTCCTCTGTGCCCGGCACCCCTGCTGCCTCTGGGCACCCACATCTCTAACAGTAAGGGCACAGTCAGGCCACCCTCACGGGCTCGTTTTGCCTTCACTGCCTCTGGAAAGGCCCTGCCTGTAAAAGCAGTCCCAGGCTGAGGTCCTGGGGATTAGGACTTCAACACAGCAGTTGGGGAGTGTGGGGTGAGAACACAGTGCGTCCATGATAAACCCCATGTGTCATAAAAACCTGCACTTCGCCTTCCCAGCCTCTCCTTTACTCTCAAACCGCACTCACGAGGCTTCTGACACCAGATGCGTGTTGGGTTTTCCCCAGATCAAAGTATTATTTGGGACACCAGCTGAGTTTCCTGCAGCTCAGTTAGATTCTGGCACTCACTGGAGGTACCACAGACCCCACAGGGTAAGGGCTCAGTCCCTCTTCTCCCCCGCCCCCCACTTCAGATGCCACTCACTAGTAATAGGTCCCTTGGTTACCCACAACTTTTCTCAGCTTGGCTACAAATTGGAGGTTCCTGTGAGCCCCTCTCCCCTCATTCCATTATAGGCTAGAACAGCTCACAGAACTCGGAGAAACAAGTTTACCAGTTCATTATGCAGTGAAGGATATAACAAAGGATACAGATAAACAGCCAGATAAAGAGATACATCAAGTAAGGTCCGGGAGGATCTTTTTTTTTTTTTTTTTTTTTTAGAGATTTTATTTATTTGAGAGAGATAGCGCACAAGCAGGGGCAACAGGAGAGGGAGAGGGAGAAGCAGACTCCCCGCCGAGCAGGGAGCCCGATGCGGGGCTCGATCCCAGGACCCTGGGATCACGACCCGAGCCGAAGGCAGACGCCCAACGACCGAGCCACCCAGGCGCCCCAAGGTCCGGGAGGATCTTGAGAACCGGGGCGCCTATTCCTGTGGAGCTGGGCGTGCCACCCTCCAGCATGGAGATGTTACCAACCCCGAAGCTCTCCAAACCCCAAACTTTGGGGAGTTTTCTGGAGGCTCATCACATGACCATGATCAACTAATAACTCAGTCTCTGGTCCCTATCCCCTCCCCGGGTGATGGGAGAGGGGGCTGCAAATTCCAAGCTTCTAATCACGGGTTGGTCTTTTAGCCTCTGTCCAGGAGCTCTCCAGGAGCTCACCAAGAGTCACCTCATTAGAACAAAATACACTCCCATCACTCAGGAAATTCCAAGGGATTTAGGAGCCCAGTGTCAGGAACTGGGGTCAAAGAGCAAATGTTAGAACAAAAGATACTCCTAGTGCTTAGGAAATTACAAGAGATTTAGGAGCTCTGTGTCAGGACCCAGGGGCTAAGGCCCAATATATATATTTTCTTCTATTATTTCACACACACACACACACACACACACACCTGGTCTCTGGCCACGGGACCCCTTGCAGCAAAATAATATACAACTCAGGTACTGCATGTTACTAGTATCCCACGCAGTCCTTAGTAATCATTCCAGTCCATCATCCTATTGCATGAAAATGTCTCTCAGGGTGAGGCCACTTGGGTTTGCAGGCTTCTCCTCGATCTTGTCAGGGTGCAAAAGCAGGAGTGGCCTCGGCACATGTATGGCTTCACCCTTTTGGACGTCCCGTACAATCGAGCTAACTCTCTTGCTCTGATGAATACTCTCTTGGAGGTATTCATGGAATATTGGATTTCCCTTATGACATAACTCGTTTATGCATTACTTTCTCTGTAGCTACTATTCTTCCTTTTCTCCATGTGTACCCAAACTCCCCGGCCTCTGGAAGGGACGTGGGATTCTGCCACCGTGCTGGCCTAGATCGCGGGCAGGAGCACCAGTCTAGCAAGTGCTTGCCCTCAGCCCACTGCCGTCCACATAGGGTAAGTCAGGTTACAGGGGTGCAGCTGCAGAACTAGGGGGTTATGTTTACCACCAGCCAAGATGGCTGCTTTTACTGTTAACACCAATTCTGTCAGATGGGGTGACAGCACATCCCACCCCGTCAGGCCCATAGGAATTCTGACACAAGGTTTAAAATGCAATTGTAGTTTCTTGTTCCGGAGCCCTCGCTGAGTCAGACACTGGTCATATGACCACTGCATCAGGTAGGGACAAAAGCAGATGAGGTGATGTGAGGATACTGGCACCTTCCCCACGCCTTCTTCCCCTGATCCGCCGGAAAAGCGGAGAGGACGCTCCTTTACCCCACTCGTGTTCACAGTGAGTGTGAGCACACACTTGTGAGGGCTGTAAGCCTGCGCTTCCAAACTTTATACCACCCCCTCCCGTCTTAGACAACCAACATTTTAATCGTCTCTTCCAATTCTCTACCAAACTAGTTTCTGAGGAGGATCTCTCTCTGCCCACTGTTGGACATTACGGGCTGTAAACGGTGGTCCTTGGTCTGCAGAAATGGTTGGCTATGGCCTCTTCTCTGTTCTCATTATTTTATGGCTCTCTGAGCATTTGCATCCACCTCTGCCTCAGTCAGCAAAGCCCAGCCCAGAGTCGGCGTCTCTTCCTATCGGGACCCACCTGCAGCCTTCAGGATGACTGGCGTCACCGTGACGCGCCAGCACGTTCAGGACCTTTCCACCGGGGAATCTGCCACATGGCCACCTGCAGCCTGTCTCTTTGGCTGGCAGACAAAACAGCTCCTACTGGCATTGTGCGCCTGAGGCCACAAGAGGAATGTGTCCATTCGGCCATCGGTGCCCCCACGTCCACTCATTTCGTGGACTTGTTAGGTGAGCTCATGGGGATATCTGCTTGTTGAGTCCAGTCACCTTCCAAACCTGGAAGGGGGTTCTTCTGACCAGCTTCAACATGCCCTACTTTCTTTAATGCACCCTGCAAAGTCCCACAGCGATTTCCATGAGACAGAGCCTCATACGGGAACCTCTGTAGTAGGCCGGGTCGCCACTGTCCTCCTGCCTGCGAGTCAGTAGAAACCAAAACATCAGGGTTTTTACCCCTGTTCAATTCTTCCCTCACAGCTGGAAAAACAGCTCACAATTCAGCCCACCAGACTTACTTGTGTGTACCTTCTTTGATCAGAGTGGTGGCCTTCCGAACAGGATGTTGCCCGTTCCCTTCGGAACGGCCATCCACAGAGAGCCAGCAGCTCTTTGTTGGTCAGTGGGGAGCTGTTTACGGGGCACCGTGCAAGGCACAACAGAATCCAGCGGCATCTTATGCAGTTCCAGAGCCAGCCCCAGGAAAGAGGCTCGGTGCTCAGAGGTGTCTCCTTGCATTCCCCAGGCAGCAGGGTCCTGTATAAACCATTTTTCATTTTATCAGGGCATGCTTCTGGGCACTGCTGTCCCCACGAGAGTGTTTCTCTGACATTACCCAAGACAACACGAGCATAACAGATGCCAAGATCATTTTAAGTCCTTCCCTCACCAGGGTAACTTCAGTTTATGTCGGGGAGCACGGTAGTCAATACCCGTCAAACGGAAGATTCTCTAGTCCAAAGTCCCAGTGGTCGTCGCTGGGGGGCGCTCACACCGTCTACACAAGGGCCAGAGCACGGAGACTCGGTCCCTCCCTGCCCTACTGCGTTGGCTCTGCAAGTTTACACGGCTCGCGGCCTTGGGCTTTACAATAGTAGTTAGAGGAAACATTCCCCAGGCAGGCACAACGCCCATCCCCAAAGTACAGTCTGGCTTAAGAGACTCAACCATCTCAGGTAACACCTGTTCCAACATACCAATTCTCGTACTTTTACCTTAATTCCATCAACCCTTACATTCCTGACTGTTAACCTCCATTTAGGACTTAAAGCACTAGGGCTCTTAACCCATTAGGACAAAATGCACAGGTTTTGGTTTTACAATACAAAGGAGAGGACATGTTTCCTAGTGTGACATAATATCCATTTACATAAAACATTAGGTAAAGGAGACACAACCTCCTTACATCAGGCCTGCCCAAACATTCCAACTTGTACAGTCTTACCAACGGTTACATTTTTACCTCCCATCTAATTGTAGCCCAAGTCAGGGCTTCACCAGTGGGTCTTGGTGGCACAGTGCACAGGGCTCCTACGTCAAGGAGTCCGGGGAGCTTCTCTTCTCCACCCCGGATCACGCATGCAAAACGCCTTGGATCAGAGAAGATCCTGGGAAGATGGTGGAGGAAGAAGCACTGGGAACTGTCTCCCCACCTGGACAACAACTGTACTAATAGAATCTAAAGTAACCACTTTGGAACTCTGGAGTCCTGTGGAAGGCTTACAACTTCCAGGAGAGGCTCCAGAGGGTGAATTGCCATCGATTTCAGCTCTTCCCACAGTAGCAGCCTCCGGCCCCCAGCCCCACACAGGCAGCCAGCCACGTGGTATGGAGCTCGTGGGGTGAACTAGGGTGGATGAAAGGGACCAGTGTCCTCCAAGTATCGGGGATCTCAGCCCAGAGGTGCACAGAGGTGGGCAGCCACTGCTGTCCCCCACCCCCGCGACAAGCCCCTGTCTCTCCTGCTAAGGTGACTTCCAGGGGATTTGAAGGGCTGGTGCCTTTATCCCCCCTTCATTGTTCCCTTTTCCGCTTTCAGGAGCCAGACATTAAAAACTAGAACGTTCAAAACCACTGCATATAAAGGAGACCGAGAATAAGAGTAGCACCGTGGTTACCGGGGGCTGAGCTGGGGGAGAACTGGGGAGATGTGGTTTAAGGGCACAAACTGGTAGATAAGTAAGTCCTGGAGAGCTAATATCCAGGACAGGTATTATAGTCAACAGTCCCGTATCACACACTTCAAAACTGCCAGGTGATGAGATCTTAGGTGTTCTCACCACGTGGAAGAAATGATAATGATGTTGGCATGTTCGCCCGCACCACGGTAGTGTATAAACTACCGGTAGTGTACACGGTAGCGTACCCGTCGCTGTGTATAAATGTGTTAGATCCTAACACCTTCAGCTTACACAGTGTTCTGTGTGCCTTATACCTCGGCTAAAGAAAACACCAGCCCCCACCCCCACCCCCGAAAAACCACAATGAAATAAAACAATTGTGCATACGGGAGGAATGAGAAAGCGACTGCACGCCTCCAAGGAAG